GTTATGAGTAAAGGTTTGTGCCTGCTGTTGCTATAATCACTTCTGCCAACAGAAATTCCTGAAGGTCTTGGGCATCCTGGATGACCCCCCACCCCCACCCCCACCACCCCATCTCCTTTAACTTAAAAACCACTGACACTACTTTGTCCATTTATTTTCTTGACTATATGCCTTTAAAGATTAATTTGTTCTGCTGATAAGAGCAGTCCCCTTAATCTACTTTAGAGTTTCAGACTACTGCTCTGAGGCTAATTTATTTTGTACCCAAATTCTAGCCCTTATTTGTATGCAGAACAACAGTTCCTTTGCTCTTACCATATTCAACTTTACCAGCATTTAGTTCTTACTTCACTTACTAATAGTTTTCTCAAAATCCACACACTTGGAATTCAGACAACATAACATAAAATCCACATAAATGATCCAACCAATGCAAATAACCAATGGAGTTAATTCAGCAAAATTATAATCTCCCATTTTATAATCACCACAAAACTAAAGTAATTTCATCAAGGATCCCATTACCAACGAGGGACAATAGTACTTCCTACAAGAACCTCAGTCTCATGTAAATGAAAGAAACCCATTTCCAAACTTTGAAATTTGGTTTTGATAGTAACTCCCTTTGCTAAAAATTATAGCAATCCAAATGTCATGTGTTAAACTGCTCTTAACTCATATTCCCTCTTCTGTCTAGATAAGTCTAAACACAAGAAGAGAATGTGGAGCTGTTTATAAGATAGAGTTGATCAGCTTTTAAAACTCGATCATTCATTTTGAGTTTAATGAAAAAAGGAAAGGCCATAAAATCACACTCAAATCACTCAAAAATGCCAATCATTTTAAAGGTCCACTGCCCTTTAAAACCTGTACCCTCCTCCTACATCTCGCTTTAAAAAAAAAAATCATTAATTGCTGGAAGAAAAGCATCCAAAGGCAAAATACGTGTGGCTCTTCCTATCATGGCATCTCTTTTTTCTTTCCTTATGTTACATCACAATTATTGTTGTCAACATCATCATCACTATTCTCATGGTCAAACTGCTTCTAAGAGTGTGTAGTAAAGAATTTAACCTTGTCCAGAAAGATGTCTAGTCTTTGCCCTCAGCTCCTGGGAGGCAAGCTCTAAGCCCTTGGAATGTTCTGCCTGATGAGAGTGTCTTTGTTCACCTGGGGCCTAGGGACGTGAAAGACAGTCTAACAATGTGATGTAGGGTGGGGGCTTTGGGTCACATGGTACCAGCTCAATGTCCAGAGGGCCTGGTGACTTGAGGTCACTGTGGGCAGTCAACCATGACTATGTGACCAAGTCCCAATAAAAAATATTTGGCTCAGATGAGCTTCCCTGGTTGGCAATACTCTCCACACTGCCACACCGCATAGCTGAGAGTCAACACTGTCTGTGACTCCCCTGGGAGAGGACGGCTGGAGGTTCTGCACTTGGAACTTTCCTGGACTCTGTCCCATGCATCTCTTCCCCTGGCTGACTTTCATCTGTAGCCTTTCACCGTGATATAACTGTGAGTGTGACAACTTTCAGTGAGTTCTGTGGGTCCTTGTAGCAAAACCGCAAACATGAGTATGGCCTTACACTTGCAATTGGTGTCAGAAGTGAGAATGGTGTTGGGGATGGTTTCCTAACTCGACAGAGGATGTGGAATGAAGACCAGGAAATAAATGCAGAGTTATGCTCCATGACTCCATGTCTTTGGCAAGCTCACCTACTAGTAATGTTTCTGGCTTGATTTTCCTCAATGAAGATCATCTTAATCAGGTTTATAAATATTCCAGAGTAGAGCGTGTGCTCACCCAGTAAGAATTCAGAGAAAGGAGGTGAGAAGTAGACAGAGCACAGGATGTCAACTCAAATGTGGGTCCAAACACCAGCTCCAGCACAGCCCGGCTCTTTTTCCTGGGTCGAGGAGGCCTGGTGTATAAAGAGCCCTATTCTCAGTGTGTGAGCAACTGACATACTGGGACCAAATTTTTTTGGCTACTAGGTAAGGTTACTCATGTTTCTGGTGAATAAGTCCCACCCCTTTATTACTTACCTCCTAATTACAGTTTACTAAAACTTAAGGCTCTCATAGCCGAGGGCTACAACCACTAGAATGTCCTTTTCATCTGATTACAGTCTTTCTTTGGAAGCTCCCGGTTCTCTCACTAGTCAGAAACATTGTTCTGAAGGTGGCAGCTTTCAAAGGTTGCATTCAAGCTCTATTCCTCACCGCAGCCCAAAACTGCAGTCTTTTTTAAGGAAACCCCATGAGAAGCCACATGGAAAGGTTCCCTGAGTGTAGACACTCACACCCGTTCGAGTGGAGTGAAGTGCCCCCTTCCTCAGTTTCTCTACAAGTACAGATTCCCATAAAATCATAACCTAATAAGCAATTTGGTTCCTAACTTAGAGAACCATGGGATAAGCTGACACCCTGGCATTTCTGTCCTGTTATTCCTTCCTTAATATTTAAATTCTTTCAGCATTTAAATTCTCCCCATAGTTCACTGTGGCCTTATAAGAGATTGTTTTCAAAAGGAACATACAGATTCACTGCTTTATCTGAGTTCCTAGACTAGTTACAGACACATAGATGTTTGATAAACATTTGTTGAGCAAATGAATAAAGAAAATATAGCAAAATGCCAAGCCGTGTCTCGTCCAATCACCCACACAGCCTCTCTTTGTTGTAAATATCCAGTTTATAGTTTCTCTCCCTTGCAATCGGCTCAGTGAACAGGGACTGTGAGTACTTCCAGGAACACAGAAACTCAAGAATATTTCAAACAACAGGTTAAAATGCTACATAGGTAAGAGCTGATGTGATCAGAATGAGTTGACAATGGCCACCACCGAAGCGTGTCAGAAAGTGAGACCAAGGCAAAAGCTGAGGATTCTGCCTTCTGGCTGCCAACACAGAAAGAACCACAAAGCAGGCCTGTTCCTGTCTACTTCTATTTACAACCATGAGCAGAAATTTCTTTCCTGCGCCTTCATGTGGACGTGCCATTTCCGCGACCCGGCAGGTTACTGAGGCCCAGAGATGCTTCCCACCACCTACTCTTAGACTTAGTCATCTGCATGAACCCCTGACCACATCCACGTACAGGCTTTGATTGCCAAAACGATAGGAAATACCACAACCTCTGTTTCACAGAAACGAAATAAATGCACAGAAAGAAAAATCAGATATTTATCTGAGAGAATGGCACAGCCACCTTCAACTATAAGAAGAGATTTCTAAAAGCCCGTTGATTGGATTGGCAACTACCTTAACAGCTGCTAAGACAGGTGCCCTCAAGCTCATATTAAATGTATTTTCTGTCCACAACCCAATGCAATGGAGGCGCTCCTATGTGATCTTAAGATCTGAAAATCATGCAAAGTTAGACTGAGAAATAGAAAAGCAAGCTCCTCCTAGTACCCCCACCCCTGATTGCTACAATGTCCACTATGCTGTTAACTACGGATCCTCCAAATCCAAGTAATAACCAAACAAAATACTCCTTTTCTTCTTGCATTACATAAAGACATTCTTTTTCTACATTTCAATTAGCTCTATGTTAATACCTCTCCAGGAAAAAAAAAATGGATGTCCAAACCTGGGGGGGAGGGGAACAAATCCTATATAATAAAAGCCTAGGTGGCGTCACACCCTCATGCGATGCCGCCACAGGATGGCCACCACAAAATGGCTGCATGCACAGTGGAAGCTCCGCATGGTGAGGCCTGGGGGTCCCACTGCTCTGCACAGCGTGGAGGAGGCTGGTCACAGCAGGGGAGGGCACTTGGGGGCAATCAGGCCAGTAGGGGAGAGCAGTTGGGAGCGATCAGTCTGGCAGGGGAGGGCAGTTGTGGGTGATCAGGCTGGCAGGGGAGGGCAGTTGGGGGCGATCAGGCTGGCAGGCAAGCAAGCAGTTAGGAGCCAGAGGTCCCAGATTGTGAGAGGGATGTCCGACTGTTGGTTTCCCTCGGCAGTCGACATCCCCCGAGGGGTTCCAGATTGGAGAGGGTGCAGGCCAGGCTGAGGGACACCCCCCCCGCCCATGCACAAATTTTATGCACTGGGCCTCTAGTTGATTTAATAAAAGACACTGCTATTTTTTTTCTTTAGAAGCTTAATCTTATATCTGACTTTCAAAAGTATGACTATGTATTACATTGAATAAAAAATATTTTTAATAACTAAAATTAAAAATCTCTGTGACCACAAGATAGAATCAATATAAAGAAGAACTAGAGATTGTAAGAATAAAGCTCAAGGTAGTAACTGGCCATAAACCAAATGATCATAAAACACCCAGTCATTTAAATCTTACACATTCTTATAAAAGCATGCTTTCCCCTCACTTTGTAATTATGTCCCTTCAAAAAGCAGAAGTCCGACCACTAAGCGGACTCCAAAGCACCTGATAAATCTTCCTATTTCTCTGATTTATCACAGAGATACAGTGAAAGTACTTCTTTCACCAATATTTTCTTAACTGATCAAATCCTCAATTCCCACATTGTTCTTTTGGTCTTTAGTGTATACATTAAATGCTTCGATCTAACCAAACTAATACCCATTGTTTTCCACAGTAGTACTTATATACTTGATAAGTATCCAAACTAAACATAAAATTGCTCCTTCCAAGAAAGGCAACTGTTCAATTTTGAACAACAGAATTGGCTGTAAGCTTTTTAAAAAATACACACCTAGACACCAATAGAATGCATTCTCCAGTTACAACCTAAAACCTCTACTAAGATGATTCCAAAACCTCTTACAATTACCTTTGAAGTTTGGCTTTTATATAAAAGCAAGCAACGCATGAAAATCAATTCATTTTAAGTCTTCCTAAACCAGGCATGTTCAGGCTTACAAATAATTATGGGTAATAATTGCTACTTAGTATATACGTAATCAAACCCACTTATTGTGGTTTGGCTTTAAAAATAGATAAATTGATTTAATAAAAACCAATTCAAACATGGCATTTAGGAAACGTGATTTGCTTACCTCTGTTGGTTTGTGGCAATCTACGAGAGCTTCCTGGAATGAAATACACAGAAGGTAAGTTTTATTATTTTAAAAATCAGTATCATTTTAAAGGTGAAATTAAAAATTATTTCTTCTTTATAGTATTATTCTAAACATGGTGAATCAACATTTCATATTGACTATCTAGAATCACACTTTATTTCAATACCCACTGACCACCTAGAGATATAAAGAGTTGTGCGGGGCCAGGGTGGTTCGGTGGTTGAGCTTCGACCCAGGAACCAAGAGGTCATGGGTTTGATTCTTGGTCAGAGCACATGCCAGGATTGCGGGTTCGATCCCCAGTAGGGGGTGGGCAGGAGGCAGCCAATCGATAGTTTCTCTCTCATTGATGGTTCTATATCTCCCTTCCTCTTCTAAAAATCAATTTAAACTTATTTTTAAAAAGATATAAAGAGTTGTGTCCTTCATATGCAGGAATGCCTTACATTTTCCAGAGCACATGCATGCACAGGCATACACACACACCTTTCCTTTGGGCTGCCAACTTGGTTAATAATAAACGGGATATACTTAAATTGAGACAGCCTATGAAAGACGGTGACAATCACACTGGATGATCACACTGGAGAGTCAGGGGCCTGGGTCACACCTCTGCAGGCTTCAGTGTCCTCACCTGGGAACCAAAGGGGATGACCTGATGGCAGCTACACCCCTTTCAAGTTCTCAATGTTAGGAAAACTTGATGTCATTCCATGCTGTATAAAACTGATGCCCGCTTTCCTTTTTTTAACTTTCATCTCCTATTTAAATTTACCAACAAGATATAATCATTAAACCAAAACTTGTTTGCCACTCAAGGGATGTTAGTAATTATTAACACATTCATATATTAAAATGTGCCCTTTAATTGCCTTTAGCGATCATTTGCCCCTGGTAATAACCAACCACCATTAACAGTAATTATCTGTGAACATTCAAAACATTGGCAAGTCAAAGGTTGACTGGTTTTAGAAACTCCCAAATACAGATTTTCAAATGATAGATTTGACCTCTTCTGGGAAGGGAAATAAATATTGTATTACTGTGGGCCAAGGAAACATGAGACATCTCAGCATGTATCAGGATGCTATCAGGTGAGCATACTCTAGTAAAAGAAACTTTATTAAACAGAATTATGTCGTACATAATCTTATGTAGAAATGAATGTCATGAATGATATAATCCACAACTGCAAGACTGGAGTCCTGAGTTTAGACACCCAGTTCCAGCTCAGCCCTTCTCCCTCTCATACAATTGTTAGGCATCTCTTCCTTCTCTGGCAAATGGATCTCAGGAGGCAGAGCCAGCTCTCCCTCCCAAAAGAAAAGGCTGGAAAAACTCACATCCATAACGTGCTTCGAGAACTGACGTCAAGAACTGCTTTACCGTCAGAGAATCAGAGATGAGCTTCATGAGGGTGAATACTTAGCATCCCATCCCTTTCCCCTCTGCAAGCTCAGGAGCCCCGAGTGGATTCAAGCACCTACAATGGGAAGGTTCTAGATTTTGAAAGCTGCTTACCCGTAGTTTTAAAGCTCTCTCTTCTTCACTGTCTGCATCAAGAAGATCATCAATGTCAATTTCTACATCTGGCATTTCTTCTTCCTGGAGGACAAATGGGAAGGCATTCTATTTAGTGAGAAACTACATCGTGCTGAACCAACTTAGTTGAGTTAAATAAATGACTAGATCACCAGTTGACAATAAAGGGGAAGAAGAGACTAGGAGGAAGAGGAGGGAAAGGAGGGGAAGGAAGGGGAAATGGGAGAGAGGAAAAGGGGGGAAAGGAAAACAAGAAAAAGTAGGGAGAAGAAAGGAGAAAAAAGAGGAGGGAGGGAGGGAGGACGGGGGATGGAAGAAGGGGAACAAAGGAAGTTTAAGAGTCACAAAGCAGTAAAAAGTAAATTTTCAAAAATAACAACTTTCTGCTTTCAGGCAGAAAACTGCAATGATAAGTACACAAGAAGGATTGGTAAATTATAGAAAGAGTAGTGAGAGTTGGGGTTTCCTACCCAACGACTCCCCTTCTCTCAGTGACTACCGGATCTTTGATTCTTTTTGGGGGGTTGAATAACTTCTTTTATGACTCTGGGTCTGAGGAAAACCTGATTTCGTCACAGGTTTCTGAGGTGGGGCACTTGGATGAGCCTCGCCTGAGCCCAGCCCCAGTTACTGACTCAAGAGAGGACTCGACCCAACTGAGACCAGTGCGGGCCTCTGGGAATAGAAGCTCTTCCAACAGACGCATCCCTCCGCTCTCCCTCCGATCTGACGGTGGGCTGGGGAAGCTCTGAGCCTGAACATTGCCAGCAGTCATCATGGAACCCGAAAGGAGTGGGGCTGGCTCCACAAAGGGGCAGGGGCAGAGAAATAGGGAAAGAGGGTTCTGGAGAATGTCACTCAGTCACCGAGTCAAACCTCCTCTAAAACAGGCACCTTCACAAGTAAATCCCTGTTATCATTTCAGCCAGAATGACTGGAGTTTAATATTCCAAAACTAAACATCCAATCAAGAAGGTAGGGCAAGAATGTACGGCTGGAATGTGTGAAAGGCCTCACTGACTTGGAACCCGTACTTCCAATCCAAAGTAAGTCTTTGCTGCTTCTCATTTCTCCTGCTACCTGATCTTCCCCCATACCTCTGAGGGTGCTGAAATCAAATCACATCTAAGAAGCGCTGTCATTTTGCATTGCACCTTCCCATTAGGAGTCACCTGCACTCCAACCCCTCTAGCCACAGGGATGGGCGAGAAGCGATTGAGAAACATGTGTGTTTGTGTGTGGGGAGGAGAGGGGGGCGCGGCGGGGGGGACACCTGTGCCTCCACCTGGCTTAGCTGCTCTCTGTCAGCTGCATCATCTGGTCTTCAGGGCAAGGCTGACTTCCTGAGTCTTTCCTTTCTAGTAAATTGCATTTACTAAGAACATTTCCCCCTGTTCCAACACAAAAGCAGGCCCAAGTGTTTTGAGGACACTGAGGACTGATACACTCCTGTGAAACCACAGGGGCTGCTGCCCTGACCTGGAATGCACGGGGCCCACTGGCATCCAGTCCCTCTGTCTCTCTCAGTGGAGCCCTCCTGGGGCAGAGCAGAGAGGTGGGTACAGATGTGGCCTCTTTATGAGCAGAGGATGCTGGGAGGACCCCAAGGCTCCACTCCGTTGTCAGGACACCAGGAAAGACCACACTGGACATGTGTGCAGCTCCCCCTCCCTGGGTACCAGTCTCCTTGCCCAGCCCTAACCTTCCCCTCCACCACCTGCCTGTGCCTGCCCGACTTCCTCTTTTTGTGTCTGTGTGAAACCGCGCTGACAGGAAGACTGAGGGAGAATTTAAGATGACAGCGGTGGAGCTGTCAAGGGTGCCAGACTTCTCAGAGTGAAAGGACTGGTGGGACCTGAGACACCATCCAAGAAATGCCCGCGATGACAACACCACCGGCAGCCCCTGAACTCGGAGTGATGCTGGGAAGGCACAGCCTCGGGGCCTCCCGGCCACGGCCTATCTCAGTCGCAGTCTATTTCCTTTCCTCTCCCCTCCCCCCTCCCCAAATCAGTCATTTGGGTGCAGCATTTATATTTGGTTGGAGCAGCAGGTATATATTTACGTGATGGTTCATGAAATCAAGCAGAGGAAGACGGTGTAGGACCTGCTCCAGGAGTCACGGGTACGGGGCCTCTGTGTCTGCTCTTCTTAAAGGAGATCATAAGTAAATAATGGCTTGCCCAGAACGCTGCAGAAGGGTTTTCCTGCAGCTGTTATTCAGCTTTGATGCCCCACCCAATTTGGTCAAAAGGGCTTTTACTTGTGTTGCAAGACGGCAAGCTCCAGGCCCGCCCACGTAGGAGGCCCCGGCAATTAGGTGTCCTCCGCCCAGCTCTCCCTCAGGCCCCGCATGACCCACTTTCCCCAGTCCTCGAGATCCAGGCCGCCCAACATGGCAGCCACAGGTGGTGTTTAAATTGAAATTCACTGAAATGAAATCAACAAAGAATTCAGCTCCTCAGTCGCATGAGCCATATATTTCAGTGCTCAATTACCGCCTGTGGTGAGTGACTACTGCCCTGGACGGTCCCCATAGAGCAGTGGTTCCCAACCTTCTGGCCCTTTAAATACAGTTCCTCATGTTGTGACCCAACCATAAAATTATTTTCGTGGCTACTTCATAACTGTAATGTTGCTACTGTTATGAATCATAATGTAAATATCTGATATGCAGGATGGTCTTAGGCGACCCCTGTGAAAGGGTCGTTAGACCGCCAAAGGGGTCGTGACCCACAGGTTGAGAACCACTGCTATAGAGGCTCTCATTCCTCGGGACAGCACTGCCCTGGAGCCCACCCACCCTGGACTAGAGGTGGGAAGCAAAGCTCCCTTCCTTCTCAGAGACCCTCGACAGGAGTAAAGAAAATGCATCGCGAGGCCACCGCCATTACTCAAGGCAGGTGGCTGGGAAACCCTGGGCGTGGCCATCCCGGTGGGAAAGCTGATGCAAACAAGTCCCCAAGTCATTACAACAATCATGAGGCAACGGCACTGGCTACCAACCTATGTTGCTACCCACCCTCATCCATCAGAGGGTAGGAGGGGCCTGAGCCCAGGTGCGTTCCCACCGTCCATGATGCCAAACCAAAGCCTGGATGAGAAGGACATGGAGACACGGGCCACAGAGGCACATGTGGGAGAGGGCTGGGAAGCAAAGGCTGATCTAGTATCGGGTATAGAACCCTGTGTCTATTTGGCATTTAATATTTTTAATGAGGAGTGTGGAAATAGTCTATATTCCATTGACGGTTTCTGTGTCTCTACCTTCTGTATAAAGCAGTATCACTGAATGTAACCTTAGTGACACTGCTTACTCTGGTGTCCCAGAGTTCACTGGGGCTTGGGGGTTTCCCCACATTAAACACAGATCAAACAATCTCTTCAGAGTCACTGTGGTAAGCCACCGCCTGACAACATGTAGTCACAGGCCCTCCTGTAGGGACGCATGGAACAAGGCACCTGATTATTTGGCGCATCTTTCCTGCTGGGAACCCACTGTGTACGAGGCACCATGTGTCAGCCGCTGTAAGGCTCTGTCTGGGACAGACATGCCGTCTAAGCTCAGGACAAAACAATGTACAATGGCACCAAAAGAGAGAGACAGCCCAAGTGCCCTGGCAATTAAGGAGAGGAAAATTTCCACCTGGGCCGGGCCGGGAGGTTTCACAGAGGAGAGAGCATGTCAGCTGGCCTTGTGGAATAGCAGGATTTGGACAGGTTTAAAGGGGGAGGGGGAGCACCCACAAGAGGCAACAAGGTACAAAGGAGGCCAGAATACAAGGTGTGTTCTAAATACATCATGCAGAAAGGCCCTTTTCTTGAGTCGGATAGCAGATATTAAAAGAGGCTACACAGGAAACAGAGATGAGCGCTGAGGCAGATAGGGGCTCTATAAGGAGTAGTGGGGAGTGTGGCAAACTGATGAAAACGAGTCCCAGGAGAAGACAGCAAAAAGAACACTCCATTCCTGCCTATTGCACTCAGGGCTGTGAGATCCTCCAAGTTTTCAGGAAAAGTTGAAAATACAGATCTTTATTGTAAAAATATCTTGATTTCTTTTAAGTTGGTTAATAATTCCTTAAAATGTTGTGAAAGACAAACAAAGTCCGTCAGCCTGACAGTTTCCCCTCATCCTGTAAGACCAGAGCCACTGAGGGCTCCAGAGCGAGGGTGGGAAATGCCAGGAGGGCAGCGGGCCAGCGGCAGGGCCCAGGCGGGCGAAGGGAGGAGGTGAGCAGGGCGCTGAGAGGCACTTCGCTTATCGCTCATCACCTGCCTCGGGGAGAGTAACAGGGCTTGAATGCAGGTTGTGGTGAGAATGAAGATTTCAAACACTGATAAGCAGGGAGGGCAAAGCAGGTGGACTCTGGAGATGACCTGGATGGTGGACGAGGGAGAAGGACAAAGTAGAGAAGATCCCAGTTTTGAGCTGAGAGGTTTTGGAGAAGACGCCATCATAGGACCACACTGGGACCTTGAGGACATTTCACAAACCAATGAGCAGTTCTGAGTTAAGCCATTTCCAGTGCCTGCCCCATGACCGATGAGCGAAGTGCCTCTCAGCAGCCTCCTCCCCTCCTCCCTTCGCCCAGGCCCTACAGCTGGGCCAGCTGCCCAACTGGCACACCCAGGGGCACGCTGCCATGCTGAGTGACAGAGGCACAGCCCTGCCGGCAGAACCCTTGGCCTGCAGCCAGGCCTGCAACAGCCAGGAGCTCCCCACGGGCTCAGGCGCCAGGCTGCAGCAATGCAACTGAGGCAGGTCCCCGAAACAGTCAGCCTGGGTGACGGCACACGCCACACACCACACACACACTCGCATGCACATACACTCACATACACACATTCACATGCACACACCACACACATTCACATGCACACAGCACACATACACATTCATATGCACACACCACACACACACATACACTCACACACACACATACACATACCACACACACATACACATACCACACACACACATTCACGTGCACACCACCACACACACACACATACACTCACACACATTCACATACTGCACACACACATTCACATGCAACATA